TGGAATACATATATAAGAATCATAATTAATTGCTAGAACATTTTTGTTCCAAGATAACTTTATTGTACGTTTGTCTATAGTTAAGTTTCGTTATCGTAGAGCGTGTTAATTGAGATAAATGTATTCTTATATTCCGTATTATCTACGTAATGTAATATATGTATCTCTCCCATGTCGGATTCTTTTTATCAGATCACACTGTATGTTAAATAATGTTAAATAATGTCTTGACAACATATATTCTTTGGCAAATGTGCTTAAATCAATTATTTTTTTAGCTTGAAAGAAAGATTTGTTAAAATATTCATTACTTATCACACAACAATCTTATATATAAAAAATAATACTAAAATGTTTTTAAAATTATTTCAGACATAAGCAAAGAGGATCTTGAAACAGTCAATTCCAATTTCAAGAAAACTATATTGCCCAGATGTTTATCTACATTATCAAAAATATCAATCACAGTCGAAGAATTAAAATCTTTATATTTTGGTGACAAAGCAGTGTCAGAAGAAACTCTAATGAATTACGTTGATTTTATCAGCGACGAATTCTTCTGTCGTGGCATAATGGAAGTGGTGGATGTTCAGACAAAGTTGAATAATAATGATAAGAAAGCGACGTATCTGTATCAATTTTCATACGAGAGTGACACTAATCCCTTGAGAAAAATATTTAAAGTTCAAATCCCAGGTATTATTATTAATATTCATTTGAAACTATTTAACAACTTGTAATTACTTCAAAACTATCTAACAGCTTTTAATTTTAGAGAGTACGTATATCATTTTATGTTGTAATTACACATATCGCAATTACAACACAAAATAACTCCAAATATTTCTAAATTTCTTAGTTTTTAAATCTATAGGTATGATTTTAAAGAAACAAAAATGGTTTTATTTTATGTAATTTGATTTAAAAAATAATCTGTCTCTTTTTTAAAGCATTTAGAAGATTAATTTACAGATTTAATTAACGGTTAAATGATAATATTTTATAGGTGTGACTCATGCCGAGGAATTGGCGTACTTATTTCATCCTTATATGATAAAAGAATTGGACTTGTCGGCGCCTGCAGTTGATTCGGAGGACTATAAGATGATAAATTGTTTAACGCAAATGTGGACAGATTTTGCTAAAACAGGGTACGAGAATATCTTCTTTTTCTTCGTATTTTTTTAATTTTTGCAACATTTTAATTTTATCAATCTGATTTAGGAATCCAACGCCTACTACAAATTTGTGGTTGTCAGTGACCAATTCACAAAGCGGAAAATACAATTATCTGAATATCGATACAAACTCGCAAACAAAGGTTTTCCGTAAAGGAGAAGAAAGATGGGATTGGGAAAAGAAGAAAAATAAGTTACGGCGCTAAAATTTTATCTACGTTAAAATTAGGTTTCTCCGGGTACCTTTTGCGTTTATAAATATTCTCTCGTTATTTTTCAAAGATATTTTATACATGTGGAATGCGGGCACTATTGTTATTCCCTTTAAATTCAGGATCGGTTTTAGTTAGTGGAAATAAGAAGACTATAGTTTTTTGAACTATATGACTTATTAAAATCAATAAATTTTTCACGATTATTAAACTTAAAAAGTATTAGTAAATCATGCAATATATTTGTCGTTAAATTTCAAGTAATTTTAACTAAATACTGAAAATTTCGCAAGATAAAATTAACTTTAAAATCGTAACGGAAATGAAATTAAAAGAAAATAATGTATATTGTTATATTTAGTATTGTATTAAAATTTTCGTGTTTTTGTATCATTAATATGGCATATATATCACTTCCATATATTCTCTTATATTTATTTTGTATATCCCGCACAGATTGCAGCTTATTCGTTTTTTTTTTATTTCATAATATACCTATGCATATTCAACTCCTTTAAATTTTAAAGCAATTTTGATTGATCGTTACATAAAATTGTCTTTCTCGTTGAATTAAATTCTAAGAACTTCATGTTAAGGTTTCTTTTCTAGAAAATACCTGTTATTTTTATTCCCACATAAGTTAATATTTTCTTTATAAAAAAATTAACTCTAAATTCGACTGAAACATTGTTTCACCATCCTTATCATCATTGTCGTATAAAGGAGGGTCCACATTATCGAGCAAAACCGCGAGCCGAACTTCGCCGCGAACCGATTATGCGTCCACATTATCGAGCCGAACCGCGAGCCGAACTTCGTTGCGAGCCGATCATGCGTCCACATTGTCGAGCCGACGGACTCGCGCGAGGCTCGCGAACCTCGAATCGAACATCAGTGCGAACCATCGCGTACTCACTCCACGAATCTGCAAGGATTTTGATGATACGAGGTTTGGCTCGCAGTGTCCCACCAAAAGTCGGTATTCTGACGAAACATCAAAAGATGCTTTTTATGATCAGATTATACGCTTTGTCGGGTGGTAAACTGGTAGTTAAGCTTCGAGCTAGACAAATAATGACAAAAAACAAAAAATGAACGATGAAAGAAAACGTGAGTAATTGCCCAGTCGCTGTATTTGATTCTATCCACGTATGTGCAGTCTACACGACTACTGGTAGACAAAATGGAATGGTCTGATAAAAAATGTTTAAAATTAATTAGTGATTATGAGCAGAAAAGATTATTATATACGGGACGCTAAAAATCCCGAACATTATAACAATTAAAAAAATGCATATTTATATTTACAATCGTATTTTTAACGTTGCAATATATATTATAAATTTATTGCGTATTTATCATAGATTTAGAGTATGTTCGTTTAATCTAATAAATATAGTTGGTACCACTATAAATATAGTTTTATGGTTTGAAAAGGAATTAAGCTTTGAATACAAGAAAATAATAAAAGCACGCATATGTATACACATATTTAGTCGTCTTTTCCTGTTCTCATACTTTTTTTATAAGAAGAAATAAGTAAAGAACTCGAATGTGATAGTGACATGTGCAAAAAAAAGATGACGACATTATTGGCATCTCTGCAAAAAGAAAAAGCAAAAATAAAAAAAGTATGGAAACAGGAAAAGGTGAGTGAATATATGTATATGTGCTTTTATTATTTTTCTGTATTCAAAACTTAATTCCTTTTCAAACCATAAAACAAAATTTAGAATTAATATTGCATAAACATACTCTAAACCTGTGATAAATACGCAATAAATTTATAATATATATATTGCAATGTTAAAAAATACGATTGTAAATATAAATATGCATTTTGCATACATGTATTAAGAATTTATATAAATTTTATTATAAATTTCAATACGAGATTTGACTTCAAAAAATTTTAACTCATGTTCGCGGTTCGCGATGGAGTTCGATTTGAGGTTCGTCTGCAAGTTCTGGCTCGAGGCTCGGTTCGCGGTTTGGCTCGATAATGTGGACCCTGCTTAAGATGATACATCACTGCTTTTAACACGTTGTCGGGCCTCGCGTGTGAAACACAAGGCGCATGTGTTTCTCGTTCGAGGCTGTCGCTCCTGGTCGTTCCTTCGCCTTTGTACAGTTCTTTGGCAAGTTCGAGCACATCGCTGATCGATCGTAAATCCTCCGGTCGAAGTCCGAACAGGTAGGAAGAAACGCGAGCCACGATATCACGGTGCAAATTTCGCGGAGGAGACCATTATAAAACATTATACAATCGACCGGAATTCGATGAGATCTAATTTACATCTAGCCGGTTGGATGTGCGTGAGATTGTAGTAACAGTTAATTAGTACGTGCGAGTAACTTTTGCAGTTAATTGTTCACGGATACATATCAAGTTACGTGCCGTATTCGGACAAAGACAGAGCCGATCTGTCGCGCAGCTGATGAAGAAACGGTCTTCCGTTTTTGCGGATAGACTTGGTCTCGGTTGGTGCATCGCACGCTCGTATATCGCGCAACGTGCATTTCGAGAACGGTAATATTCTAAATTTGCAATGACCGCGTAACATGGATTCTCCACATGAAATTTTCCGTTACCAAAATGTTTACCGCGAGCGTCGATCCCGCATCAATTTGACTTTCCGCTAATCGAATGACAACATACAGTACCGGTCAAAAGTATTGCATCGCTCATGAAAAGGGAAGTCGTTACTAATAAAGAAAAGCGTACATAAATAATATAAAATTATCGGCGTAGGCTATTAATAAAACTTTATCAACAAACTCGATTATAATCTAACTTGTTTTTTGAAATTATTGACATTTTCACAAACACAACTACGCAACACAGATCAATAAATACGCTGTTTGTCAGTCCGCTCGTCAGTATTCCAGCGTATTCAACATGGACAACAGCAGAGTCGAAATATGCGTGCACGAGGGAAAGTTAATTGGTATTGTAGAAAAAGGTGTTTACGGTGACTACTACACCGCCTTTCGAGGAATACCATATGCGAAACCGCCAATTGGAGAACTTAGATTCAAAGTACGTAAAGTTCTATGCATGCATTTTCAGAAAGAGATAAATTAATTTTAGTTTTAGTCTAACTGAAATGCGATTCTCATCTGTAACTCGTTATGCTGTCGTTTATGTACTCATATAACGACAGTTGCGCAGGTATACTATATTCACAGAAAAAAGAAGTATCAAATCAACACCGATATACTTGTATATACGCAAGAATATATAATTTTCTTATATAAAAATTTCAACTTTTTATTTCAAGTTTTTTTTTCTTACTTGTTAATTGAACCACATATAGAACTTCGTTTAACTATATAAATTACTTCATTCAAGCAAGTTTTCTTCGTTCAACGCAATAAAATGTTATTTCAAGATTATATATTCTTGCGTATATACAAGCATATCAGTGTTGATTTGATACTTCTTTTTTTTCTGTGTGATAAAAAAGTTGCGTAATGACAATATAACGATAACGATACTGCATAAAGAGTTACAGAATCGCAGCTGTGATCGCTTATCGCGCTATAAGAAAATTAAAAAAATACGAAAGTCACAACTCTTTTAGAGAAAATTATGATTAAACGATACCGATAAACGATATCTGTTTATCAAGTATGTTATGTAATTATATATAATCTGTTTGTCTTTTATTATTATAGAATCTTACCGTATAATCTCTTTTTCTTTATCTATACATATTGCACCCTGAGAAAAATACCGTCACAACTTAAAAAATTCCGATCTTGAGTTGGGTCCATAAAAAGCACGCCCAAAATGTTACCTATATGTGCTACAGTAGTGTCACAAGTTTATGTGCGAAATCCGCTGCATGGGGCTAAAGTGTCGTTATTCTTGTAAACCAGTCATGTTATGATTTCTTGAATAAATAGCGCTGAAAGCGAATTGACAAGTAAATCATAGCTGACCTCTTCAAGAAAAAATATAAATTTTATTACAACAAAATATCATAATTGTAATTGCGTCAGTTATCTCACAATTCACAAAAATTGAATTTTGTTTACAATTATGAATTTTTTAGTTGTGGGAGTATTCTTCTCGAAATGCGATATATATTTAAACATGAAATAATAATAATAAAATACTATTATTTAGAACAATAATTCAATAAACTAAAAAAGATTACGATAAACAAATTTTTATGCGCGATTGTTTGAAGAAATAACTAATTTCGAACAATTTATTTGTAACATAAATTAATCTTTTAATTTGTTAAACAATTTGTTGACAATATAAATTAGTAATTAAGTTTAAAGATAATATATAGTCACAAAAAAAAGATAAACTAGCATAGACGTCCAGCGCACGCCGTTCCTGATTTATGCGGAACTTACAGCTCATTCATTAGCTTTAAATTGTTCTTATTTAAGAAGTACCACTCAAACGCAATTTTACGTTAAAAAAAAGTAGTTTCTTCTGACTCAGAGAATCGCACGGTGCGCACAAATTTTGAAAAATTCTATATATGAACAGATTTTACGTATTTAGGATCCGGTACCAGCGGAATCATGGTCCGGTGGTAGAGACGCCTCAAAGCACGGAAATATCGCTGTTCAATTGAATAATTTCACACGCGAAATTGAGGGCGATGAAGATTGTCTCTATTTAAATGTGTACACAACGAAAATTGAATCCTCGAAAAAACGTACTGTTATGGTATGGATACACGGCGGTGTCTTTTGTTGGGGTTCCGGTGATGCACTCTTTTATGGCCCCGATTACATCGTGCAAAAAGACGTAGTTTTGGTTACCTTGAATTATAGACTAGGCGTTCTAGGTACGTTATTCGTTTCAGTATACAATCATTGTGTGTCATTTTGTGGCATTTAATATTAAATGGTTAGATTGTATCTATTTTAACAATTATTTCACTTGGATATGTTGATTTCTCTCTACAGACCTTTCATTCCCAAAGTTAAACATTTCAAAAATATGAATTTATAAAAGAAAAAAAGTTAAATCCACATTTATTTATATCACGTTCACAATACGTTATTATTTACTTTTTGTATACAAGACTAATATTTATATTTACCGCTCATACGATCAGTGTACTAGAAACAAGTTATGGCGCAATTTTTCCTTGTGATATAAAGTAACCATTTCTTTTTTAATTTAAACGAATTGCCTTTATGAAAAAAGATGCATTAATGACTTCAGGTTTCTTAAACCTTAACAACAAAGTGGCAACGGGTAATCAAGGTCTGAAGGATATAATCATGGCGTTACAATGGGTCCAGAAAAATATATCAAAATTCGGTGGAGACCCAGAAAATGTCACTATCTTCGGTGAAAGTGCTGGTGGAGCTCTCGTACATTATCTCACTCTGTCACCATTAGCCAAAGGTACAATATATTTTGTCGATATAGTAGACTTATCAATACACTCACAATAATTTAGATTCTTCCAATCTCATCCCATTTAAACATCAATTTATTCATATTATTCAACCGCGATTTTTCATTAACAAAAACATAAAAACACTACACGGAGAAAATTTTATATTAAATATTATATACTATGGTGTCGCACTAGCTGCGGATCATCGAAGAATTATAAGTTAAAATACTATAATTATTGTCTTAAAAACAATTAAATAACGTAATTTTGACCATAAACATAGTATTTTAACTTATAATTCCTCGATGGTCGCAGCTAGTACGACACCATAGTAATATTTAATACAAAATTTTCTCCGTGTAGTACGTTTGGATATGGAAAATAAATACTCTACAAATGTATTAAATAGATAATAAATTCATTCTCTTTTTCTCTTTCAGTTAATTTCAAATCAGATATATTAAAAAAAAATTATTTGTAGTTTTTAAATAAATAATTCAAATTTTAATTACAAAGTTATATTAGTAAAATATTAAAATTTATAAAATAACTAAAAAATTTCCGAGGCAGAGAGAGAGAGAGAGAGAGAGAGAGAGAGAGAGGAAGAGAGAAATTGTTAGTAATAAAAAATTAATCACAAAGATTAAGGACTCAATGGTTAAAAAAACTTGAATTGATTCTCAAATAATTTGTATATTACTAAAAAGAAAGAAGAAAAATTTTATGATGACAAGATGTATAGAATTAATTTGTTACGACTGTTTTACAGGTTT